CACCTACTCTCATCTAAACAATATAAAAGTGCAAAGTACAACAATCTGAAACATTTAAATAATAACTTTATAAACTGCTCTATAACAGTTAACACATTTGAGATATCGCCAATTGGTTTTGATAATAACTTGAACCTATCTATTTTTAAAACTACATGGCCAAATTATTTTAATGTAAAATTAACTAATACTGTTATTAGCTCGACATATAGTATTTATTGCGAGAGAAACAATACATAATTAAATATATCTTTTACTCCTATGCACTTGCAACGTCATCGAGCTTAGGAGGATCGTACATTTCACTAAAACTCAATTTTTATTAAACTTCATTTTATTTGTCATTTCTTATTATTTTGAATTTTATTTTGTCGATTGAATAAATAAAATATGTTCACATTATTATTATTACTGGTAGTAGTAGCAGTAGTAGTTGCATTTGTGAAATCGCGGGCCAAAAATGTGATTTTTCTTCTTTAATTTTTTTCGTTTTTCAATTTTTCATTGCTAAATGTGAGTACAATCTTTGTAAATTGCCTGAAAAAACACACACAGACACACAAACACGAACCACACAAACACACACATACATAATTTTAATTTCTGTGTAATAATGTCTCAACAACACAAAAGACACGATGAATTGAAATTTTTTTAATCTTAAATAACAAATGATGGCTTATGTTAGCGTTACATGTCTTTTCACGCAAATGCATAACTTCATTCAATCATACATTCATTCATTCATACATTCATTCATTCATACATTCATTCATACATTCATTCATTCAATCATGCATACATATCAGGATTGTTAACGCTACTCATAAAAGGAAGCGCCTCTATCGCTACTGCAAGTAGAATGTAGTGGCCACTGCTACAGCTACTAAAATAAAATAGTAGCGACAAAATGGAGGAGTTAATGAAGGTGCAAATCACGTCTTTTTTGAGTGTCTCCGTTTCAAAACTCTTGAGCATACTTGGAAACTGTTCTCCAACAGAAAATTCAGCCATAGGACATAGCGAGAGCCATACTTTCATCAAAAATTGGTTGGGATGCTGGCCAGCGGGGGAACATAGGGCCTGCCAGATGTCGAGGAGGTTTTTAGTCGGTATGGGGTCTACTCGGGTTCACATAAAGTGTTTTCCTACTTTAAAAAAATAAACATACATACGTACATACTTTATTCTATACATATATACATACAAACGTACGTACGTACGTATGTACACTAGAGGTCTACGCGGGAACACATTTCTATTCCCTCACCCGCCCCTCCTGAAAATAAATTTTACTTCACCCGCACCCATTCCCTCACAAGTCTTCCCTCACCCGCACCCATTCCCTCACAAGTCTTCCCTCACCCGCACTCATTCCCTCACAAATCCTCATTCCCTCAATAATTATATCATTATTAACAAAGACAATAAAGTAACCTTAGTCAGTTGTACATAGAATGTAGTACATTCTATGTACAATTTTTATTATAAAAACAAACAAGAATACTGGTTAATGTTAGGGTTTCAGTAAATTGTTTGTAAATTTTATACCACTCCTTGACTGTTGAGAAAATAAATACGTTATTCGCTGACTTTTGGAAGATATTAACTTTCTTGACTGCCGATTTGTCCATATTTACCAAACTGCTAACACAAGGTTGTCGTCGAAATAAAAAAAACAAAATGAAAATAGAACTCGCTGATCACGTATTTATCTGTGTAAACAGCTGATAAAGACAGATTCTGTATTCAAGCTGCATACTTAATGTTGTGTTTTACTGTTTTGAAGAGTTGAAACACAAACTAAATAGAAAACAATAAGCGTAATGTACGTATACTAATTTATTACGTAAAATAAATATAACGTTTTATAACCAAACGAATTGAACGAACAAAAAAGCATGTCACAGTAAAAGTCACACTGTACATTAATTATCGCCCAAAAACAAATAGAATAAATAGTGATGTGCCCTGCACATAACACAATGAATATTTTAGCGTAATGCCTATGCATCTGTGAGCTTGCTTAGCTTTAAACATAGTAATAATAATCTAAATTTTTCAATTGCGTTGCTCTTCAAGCTATGAAGTTTCTCATTAATTTTCAACATTTTTGGAACTTCGCCATCAAAGTCAAGTAAACTGCGGTTTTCCCTCTAAAATTTTTCCCGTTCCGCGGTACTTCCCGCACGAAAAATATCCGCCCCGCGGTTTTCCCTCGCTTTTCATTCCCGCCCCGCGAGTTTCTTTCCAACTTCTGTTCCCAAACCGCAGTTTTCCCGCGTGTATTTGCGGGAAAATTTGCGGGAAATTTTCCATGTAGACCTCTAATGTACACACACACGTACATACATCTATACATAATTCAATACATACATACATGTGTACACATTTTTGTGTACCTACACATGTTTATATGTATGCGTGTATGTGCAGTAGCTCTGCTTGTACGAGCTGCTGGCTGGCTATCTTCAATGCTTGTCCACTGCTTTTGTGTAAAATGATGATGAAGACGATGATGTCGGTGATGATGATGATGAGGTCGGTGATGATGATGATGAAAATAATTACAATAACGATAATAAATTATGTGCAATGGATTTAATTACAAGAAGGTTGGAAATCTCACTCCCAACGCTGTGTTCCTTAGTGAAACAATGTTACTCTTTAATTGGTGGACTCAGCATCTCTAATAATAATAGTTATTATAATAACAATAATAGTTATTATAATAATAATAATAGTTATTATAATAATAATAACAATAGTTATAATAATAATAATAGTCATTATAATAATTATTAATCGTTTTTTATATTTTGCCTACTTGAGAATCCAGGCTGAAGTTTAATTCGCGATAAGAACATAATAGTTGATAAAATCCTTTCGTTCTACCTGTCAGGTTCACCCAGTTTTAATTAATATTATTTTGGTTATAATAATAATAATAATTATTATTATTATTGTATTATGAGAACTCTTCAGTTATCAAAATACAAAATGAATAAAACGAATCAATGAAGTAACGAAATTGAAAAAACCAATTTATCATAAAAAGAACAAGTAAATTATATAATATCAGAGCTCTTTAAAATAATTTTGCTATAATAATGATAATAATAATAGTAAAAATGATTATTATTATTATTGCCCAAAAGGCATGATTTTAGATGAAGCAACATACACACAAAAACAGACGCACACACACACATACAGACACGCATACAGACAAACACACACAAATACAGACACACTTAATTACAGACACACAATCAAATATAGACAAACACATATATTGACATGACATACATACACGCATACAGACACACCCATACACACATACATAAACACACGCATAAAGACCAACATATATACATTTTAATTTAAATCCTTTGTTGTGTATAGCTTCTTAGTTTTACTGCTTAGTTGCTTCGTAGCTGATGTCAAACTTTTATTTTGTTCCGCTGAATGTTGGTCTAAATAGTTTCCATGGCGAGAAAGAATTCATTGTCTCCCTGATTTTAAATTAAGCTAGTTTCTCTCTGTGTGTGTGGGTGTGTGCGTCTGAGTGCACGCATCTGTCTGTGAGTTAGTGCATATGTATGTGCGTGTCTGTGTGTATGTGAATATATATTTTGAGATTTCATTGCGAGAAATATCATTCAATAAAGCTTGAACTTGCAAGATGAAAAATGCTTCTTTAACGTCAACAATTTTTGTCCCAAAAACAACGACAACACAATCACACATCACACAGACAAACAAACACACACACACACCACACACACAAACACACATACACACTAACACGTTTTGCTTACACGTGTACTACAAGTATTTCAGGCTGTACTATGTAGGTCAGCAAGTAGGCCAGCTACTCCAGGCATGATGAACTAGAGTAAAGAAACCTAAAAAGCAGTATCTGTCGGTGATGATAATGATAGTACTAGTTATGATACTATCATTTATCATACAAACACTATCATTTATCATACAAATACTATCAGTTATGATACAAATACTATCAGTTATGATACAAATACAAATGCTTTTAATGCTTACTAGACAAAAAGAACGTTGAACAAAGAAGTATTTGCGAATGAATATTCACGAGGTTATTGCTAATTAGACAAAGAGTTAGCTGGTTACAAGGATGTATATATATATATATATATATATATATGTGTGTGTGTGTGTGTGTGTGTGTGTGCGTGTGCGTACGTGTATAAAAGAGGATACACAGAACTGTTGTATCGTTATTTCATTGGAAGAAGAGATTGATGTCGTTTCGCTGTATCTTTATGCCGACGTGGGTAGATTTTACTGTTTTTTTTGTTTTAATGATTTGTCACAATGCACTCGTACTAAGTATTAAAATTGTATTTTAATAGGATTACATTCGAATTAATTACATTAGAAATACTTTTTATAATGTAGGTGTTGTTAGGTTATTATGTAAGAATGAGCAACATTTTACTCTCTGTCATTCATTCATTCAATATGGTATCATTGAATTAAAAAGTAACAATTTTAGTACTATATAATAGTAATTAAGGCATAATTAATTTATTATTAATTAGTTTATTATTATTATTATTACAGATTATTTATTAAATAATTAATTAATTATAATAAAAAGTTTGAGGAGGGGCAGTCAAGAGATCAAAAAGCAGCAAATAACACGTGGTCGAAATCGATGATAAAA